TAAAGGCAGTTCACCACTTGGGATAAGCCACATTTTAAAACTACGAATGTGTCATCAATACACCTCAGCCAAATTTCCAGTTTTATTAAGTGTGCGGAGACACCTTCGAAATTTACTCATAAATGGAAATGACACATACACATTATTGATGTCAAAAACGAATATTCACAGGTTTGAACAAGTGACTGGCGTAGAATGAATACTTTCAGTTAATATAAATACACACGGTTACCACATACATCCATAACTTTAGTTCTGTAGAGTTAGATATACTCAATACATATTCATGATACTTATTCAACCGTCACTCACACAGACGTAATCAATAGCTTCCTCATCAGTTGACTTCTTTCTCTAGACGTCAACAGTTAGTCTGTATTATAAAAAACTAAGGGACTTCAGTGCTGTGATTAGTTGGGGTCCGGGTGACGATCGAAACCCATGATCGATCAACACATCGTCATTACCCTGATGGTCATTCTGAGTTTGATTATTGTTTCGCTTCTCCCCTTGTTGTTTTTTCATGATTTTAAATCACTTTCAACTACTTTCTTGTTTATTTTTTAATCTTTACATTTGATGTATTCTTGCTTCATATGTTGATATGAGTTGTGATAACTTGGCTCGTTATGCAGTGATGCTAGGTATCATGTCTGGTACTTACTGACTTTGTTCTATAGTATTGAACTAGGTTAGTCAATTCAACGCTGACCGTTTACACCTAGCCTTGTCAAATTCCTTTTTCAGAAATTGTAAATGCTTTAAATATGCACTATACAATTCACTATAGAAAACAGTCTATACTTAATGATGTCTAAGATGCTTACATTGATTCGGAGTTAAGCTGTATATATGCTTCAACATTACATTGATTAGTCACCGAAGATAGCCATTTTTATCTTGTCTAGTCTTATGAGCTGATCGAATTTTATCGATCATTTCGCAATGTGATAACTAGGCTAGGAGACTCATTATGGCGATGCACTGAGAGAGATGTTTGTTGGATGGGGGGAATTGGTAGAAAGTCATGGACCTAGATTTTGAGGTTGAAGACTGCCAAAATGCACGAAACCTAAGTGCAGAACTCCTTTCCGATTGCTTTCATCCAACTAACATCTCTGTCATATGCTTCAGCCTTGTGTTAATACGGTTCAAAGTAAACGCACCCAAAGAAATGCATAAATTTAATCACACCATTTTGAGCAGAAATATCTTGTTGACGTATTATATGTCAATTAAGACTTCGCGAATTCAGTTTCTAAATCTTTCAGGTATATCTATTGGGATAATGAGGATTTTTATGTACAATAAGCAAATTCCAGTATACTTCCCTGACTCAAGAAAAATGGCTGAAGACAAACTTACACTTAATTACATTGACTGTTGTAGGTAGATAGAATTTCAAAGACCTATTTTGGGAATATCAGCAGTTAAACAACATATGCACCCATTATAAGTTAAGTTTTAACTAGTTCACTAGTTACCGGCCGCTCCTAAGACCGGATAAAGAAGGAAGGTTGGGCGCAGGGCTAGAAACCCTACCCAGTAAAACTAATCCAATCGCTAAAGAAACTTCAAAGCACACAGTAAATATAAAACATGAAAATAAACATGAAAGTAAACTCGCTGGAATCGAGGAGACGAAATGACACCGGTTGGTGAAAGCATTCGGGAATCCAGTTGGCTGATGTGTCTTCTCTTCTCTGTATCAAAGCGAAAGTAAACATAGGGATAGGGAATGTTCGCACGATGTTTGAAGCTGTCCAGTAAGGATGACCAAATTGCAAACGAAAAAAGAAGATATGGCATAGAAGTGCCTGGAATCTATGTAAGCAAATGGAATGCAAGTGGACTGTCCAGTCTATCAACTGCAGAGTCAGCAATCCACTCCGATATAATCACCCAGACGACAACCACGAGCACACTGACTTTGGAGTGGCTATCATGATGTCCCCAAGAACATCGAAGGCTCTCATGCAGTGGGAACCAGTCTCCTCCTGCTGGATCATGACAGCAACATTCAACTCAAAAGGAAGGAAGGTCACAATCATACAATGCTACGCTATCCACCTACAAATGATGCAGATCAAGAGAAGAAGGAGGAATTCTACAGACAACTACAATCAGTAATGGACAAGACCCCATCCCAGATGGCAACATCGAAATTCTAATGGGTGGGGTGACATGAATGACAAACTGGGAGCGGACAACACAGGAAGAGAACTCATCATGAGTCGAGAGGCACTTGGCAAAATCAATGAGAATGGAGAACTATTTGCAGATTTCTGCGCATTCAACAATTTGATGATTGGAGGCAGTATATACAAACACAAGGATATTCATAAGGCGACATGGATTCGATTTCACCAGATGAACACACTAAAAATCAGATCGACTTCACCTCAATCTCAAGAAATTGGAGACACAGTCTACTGGACACAACATCATGAAGAGGAACAGATGTAGATGGTTCATACCACTCACTATCAAGTGCAAGGAACCTTCAAAATCTAGTTGAAAGTCTTCACAGAAGTTGGTGATAGACCACAGTTGAAGTTCAACACCCAGAACAGAAACTGGGCTGAAGTACGAAACTATAAAGGACCTCCACACGTCAGTCAGTCATCAGGAAAAAATGGGGGACATCAAGCAATATCCCTGAAGGATCGGGCGTGGAAGAACACTGGAACTCTTTGAGAGAGATATGGAAGGGAACCTGCATAACCGTGTCAGGAAGGAAAAAACGGAACAAGAAACGTATCTCGACGGACACATGGAAGCTGATAGAGGAGCGACAGGAAGACGGTTAAGCAGAAGATGAACCAGTGTAGTGCAGTACAGTGCAGTGCAGAGATGAATAACGAAAAGAGGAACTGAGTACAATGCATAAAACACTGTACAAAGAAGTTAAAAAGAGTGCGTTGAAAGACAAAAGACACTTCTACGACACACTTGCAAGTGAAGCAGAACAGGGTGCAAGTAGGAGAGATAGAGACCTGACAACATCATATCAAATAACCAGGCTATTATCAGGGAAGAGATCAACACATATGAAACTAATGAAACATAGTGAAGCAAACTTAGTTAGCACCAAAGAGGAGAAACAAAGGTAACGATGGGCTGACCACTTCAAAAAGTACTTGAATCGACCACCACCTGCAACTCGTCCACAAATACCACCAGCAACCACAGAGCTACCAGTGAACACAGGTCCTCCGACAAAAGCAGAAGTCCTGAACGCCATAAAGTTGCTGAATTTCGGGAAAGCAGCAGGACTAAATGGAATTCCTCCAGAAGCACTGAGAACGGATGCAGACACAACAACGGACATGCTCACACCACTATTGAAGAAGGTTTGAAGGGAGTAAGGAAAGGTACCTGCCGATTGATTGGAAGAAGGCCTACCTTGTGAAACTCCAAAACAAGGGTGACCCAAGTTTTTGCAAGAACTGGTGCAGAATCATGCTCTACCCCTGTCCACCCAAAGCAAAATACCAAGCCGAATCATCCTGGAGAGACTGAAGAATGCTCTCGATTCAAAATTACGACCGGAACAAGCTGGCTGGCTTCAGGAAAAGCAAATCACGTGCAGATCAAATTGCAACGCTACGCTGTGCATCATCATAGAACAGAGTATAGAATGCCAGTCAACTCTCTACCTCAACTTCATCAACTCCGAAAAGGCCTTCGACAGCATCGACCGAGAAGTAATTTGACAGGCACTTGCTTCAACACTATGGAGTGCCACAAATCTTTATCAACCTCATTCAACAGCTATATGCAATGTAATCCCACATGCCATGTGATCCACAATCGAAAGCTCAGTGACGCCTTCGAAGTGAAGGCAGGGGACAGGAGTAAGACAAGGTTGCCTCCTACTATCACCAACGATCTTCCTGATTGTGGTTGACTGGGCTGGACTGGACTGGACTGGACCATGCAACAGACAACTATGAGGCGCTGTGAGAAGATGAGCATACGCTGCCTGACCGATTAAAAGACCCCAGTAGAAGATTTGGATTTCGCCAACGATGATGATTTGTGTCCAATGTCTTGTAGCATAAACTCGAAGATCTACAGGCGAAAACCAACAAGTTGACAGAAGAGGCGAGACAGCGAAGACGGGGCTTCCTTCAGGTGAACGTGGATAAGACAGAGGTGATGAAGATACCAAACGAATAACAACAACAACAACAACAAACGCAAGCACCAATCACCACCAACGGCAGAAATCTAAAGAAGTTGTCTCTTTCACCTATCATCTACCTACCTAGGCACCGTTGTTTCAACCACACACGGTGGCACAGATGAGAACGTCAAAGCCAGGATCGAAAAGACAGCAAAACAGGTCTTCCTGCATTAACCTGAAATCAGTGTGGAGATCTACTGCACTGCACTTCATTCAGGATAAACAACAAGATCCGGATTTTTAACACTAATGCCAATCAAGCCAGTGCTTCTATGTGGTGGTTCAGAGGCTTGGCGGGTTACGAAAAGCGTTTCCAACAAACTACAGACATTCATCAACAGCTACCGTCTACGCTCACTCGATAGTGAAGATCAGATCAGGTAGCCAGAAAGAATAATCTCGAAGGGACTGTGGCTGGCTAGCAACGAAGCAACCAATAAGCTATCGCTCGACAAATATGTAGAAGAAAATTGATATGGATTAGACTGGAGATACACTAAGAAGACCGATTGTGGACATCACGCGTCAGGTCAGGGTCTCGAGTGGAACCCAAAGGGGAAACGGTGAGTTGGGCGTCCGAGTGTGATATGGATGAGATGGTGTGAGGAAGAAATGAAAGCTTGCGGTAGATCATGGAGCCAGGTTGAAAAGACTGGAGAGAAGAGAGTGAAACGGTGTTTAAGTTTTGTGAATGGAATCAACTTACCATGAATAATTGTGTGTAATTTTAGTCTAAGAACTTACTACTAACCAGTAGTTTAATTTTACTATTTGAAAAAATGCTACATGTAGAGTTCATAGGGTTACTTACTCCAGTTGCGCCGTTGCCCGATTGATAACGTCTTTTATTTGATCTTGACAACTTTTAATTGAATCAGTTTCCTAAGAAATTTGAAAAATTAATAAATAAAAGCATTCCTTATAAGACAATTTTAATGTCTGATGATATAAAGTAATATCATTCAGAATACATTTTAATGATGGATAGCGGCTAGTAGTAGAATCTAGGATGCGTGTTTTATCTTATTTGGGACTCATCAGCTGCATATATCTGCCTCCAAGTGAGTGAGTAGATACTATCTGCCTACTAGATGAGGATACCTTGGTCGATGTCTTTCGAGGAAGAGGATATTTGTATGTGGCTGTAGGAATTCGGATGCGTAACAAAACTGTTGGGGGTGAAGAAGCCAATGGTGTTGGCGACTATCGTTAAAATAAACGACTTAACACTTCACAGCACTAGTTGGTGGTATTATATGTGAGTACATCAACAGCTATAGGATTGATACATGCCACTAATCTCAATGCATACAAAATAGTTTTCTTTATTATGAAGTACTAGATCAAAAGGCTAGTAATCAATCTATTCACTATGCTGTACACCTATAAACAATCAAACATTCGTAAAACAGCTTTAAAACATATTTTTACTTCGAAGTTTAAGTGTTCATAGATTAGTTAAGCAAGTAGTATTCTCCATCTGAAGTTTACTGATAAACCTTTCTGAAAACCAACAATAAGAATAAAATCTATACGTTGAACGTTTTGTTCTAAATATTTAACTTGTAAAAGAAAAAGTCATGATGAATATCAACCTGAAGTCAATAAATAAATCCCCACAAACCTCTAAATTGAAGTAATCTAATGTTTTCCGGTAACTTGCTTCGATATGAGATTCCCAAAGTCCTAATGAGAAGTCATGACCAGTGGGGTCAAACAAGTACAACGTAAGGACAGTTAGTCGGCGACGGAATTGTATGGAGGTCATACTATATCATGAACTGACAGAAGTAAAAGATATGGACCATTAGATTCTAACCATCGGCTTTACGGTAATGGGCTGGCTTCGGGACCTGAAGGCCCTGGGTTCGATCCCCCAAGTAGTTATGTGTGTGCACTGCTGAGGAGCCCACCAGGACGAAACAGCTGTTCAATGCCCCCAGATTTCTAATGTTGCTCCAACTGATGTCAGTCCATGAGAATATCAACCTGAAATCAATCGCCGCAAACCTTCACATTGAAAAACCAATTTACATTAAATATCACTACTTTACAGTATGAAAAAGTAACTATAAACCACCGGCAAATTGTTATTAACAAAATTATTTAGAACGATATGCACACATAACGGACTTGCATAGCTATTAGCTATGGTAACGCATAAATATTACATATAAAGACATATACAGAATTTTAAAAATGTCGAAAGACAACTGTCAAATACGCTAAGACATAATGAGATTCTCTAAGTCTTTAATTAAGAAATCAATAATAACTCATCTTTTTACAGAAACTTGGGCTTTTGAGCTTCAAAAAAGAATTATCAGCATATAGTCCTTAAGAAACTGAGTATTTCCACAAAATGCTATGCATATGGAGTTACCAAGGTAGTGAACGACAAAACAGAATAAATTACACTGAAAATACTATATTGTGATCATTTGTTTCACATAATATCCATTATCATTTTGACTATCTGAGATAACCATGGTTTGGCAGGCTTATACTGATACAGAGTGATGATTGAAGGTCAAACGGAAATCTAAGCCACGGTGGGATTCAAATCGGAAACTACCAGGTTAGCAACCCAACGCTCTACCAACTAAGCTACGAGACCCAAGAGTTCTCCCCAACTGCTGCGTGGATTTGTGTCGCATCACTACCTCTTGATTGCACTCACACTGGCTGCCCAGTCAAGTTTTCTCGTTCCAGTCTAAATCTAACTGAATTAGAGAGGGGGAGCATCATACTGATTATCATTCTAACCATATGAAATAGCCGTGGTTTGCAGAATTGTACTGATACTGGGTGATGATCGAAAAGTTATAATAGCTCAGCTCCAGATCTAGGCACATGAATGTTTTTGACTGTACATGAGAGGGATGAAATCATCTTTTTAGTGCGTAATTTCCTAAAAAGTATTTCTGATGAATAAAAGGGTGCTCTAGATGTTAAAACGAAATGGTAACCGAACAAGTTCTGTTTTGGGGAAAATAAATTTTCAAAAGTTTCGAAACAATTTGTTTAAAAAGTACAATTTTTAAGACTGCATACTATAAAAGAGAGTGAAAGAAAGAGACTAGTGTGAAATTTTTATACCTAATATGCACCTGAATAAGGGTATATGAAATTTTACAGATCTCACAAAGTGATTTCCTCTAGTTTAAATGATCCTAAACTAGGTTGAGAAAACCATTTCAGTTTTGAGTGGAAAAACAGAAATTTTATGCATTTCATTACTAGTTGAATTATTTTAAAGACATTAAGTAATTCAGTGAAGAAAATTTTCTTTTCGACAAATCATTTCCAGTATCTGGACAATCAAATTTGTAGTAATAACAAACGCATCTCGGAGCACTATCAGTTTTGGCTGTCCAGAGGAGAATGTAAGTATAGCAAAGGCTCCATCTTGAACCATTTGGCCAACGCTGGTCATATCACTTTCCCAGAAACTTTTTTCGAAATCCTAGATAAAGTCAAGACAGACAACTCAAAAGGAGTGCATATTCTTCAATTATGTACAGCATAAGCGTTGGCAGTCCAACAGTTTAAGCCTGAGGTCCATGTTCAGAAGGGGTACGTTTATTCTCTCAATGTGTGGCGGTCATCATCCCTCCCTAAGTTTCTTTATTGCTTCAAAATCCATCTCACTCTTACTAACTAATTATTAACTTTTATTTTCACTTTACGATTTACTTTCCTCCGTCTTAATATGTTAACTCAGATCTCCCATTGAAAATCTCATAATACTTCACTCCGATTGTTGATTTTGATTAGTATCATTATTTTTATCCTGTTTGTTTCTTAACCCATTAGTCATCAGGTTAATCTACTGCATATTTTCCATGTACATACCAGATTAAGCAGTCCCCTTCTAACTCTACATCGACCTACTACTTCACCCTAGAACATTCCGTTTTGATGATTTAATATTGAACTAATTTGTTTGTTTGATATTACTACAAATATGACGGTACAGTGACTGAAGGTGATTCGTCAAAAAGAAAATTTTCTTCACTGAATTACTTTGCGTTCTTAAATGTCTCAATGGGATATTTTCCTGAATAATTTCAGCTGAAAATACTAAACAGTTGTTAACAACAGCAGGTTCTCTCATATACTAGGAAACGTTACTTGTTAAGACCGTCAACTTGGACTGATCGACTTTTTTGCTGGATTGAAAACGCCATCACCGGATGATCATTATTCACACCTGTTGCAAAGTTCAGTTTCTAAACAGTCTAAAACATGATAGATGATAACAAACTATATGATGAGGAACATTTTGTGCAGAAACAACATTTTTAAAAGAAAAATCAAACCCTCATATGAACGATGGATAATGGCCAGCAGTGGATCCAGGTTGGCGCGCGTTTCGTCTTATTTGGGACTCACCAGCTGGATGTTTGTACCTCCTAGTGATCGACGTTATTCCCATTAAGACTCTAAACTGGAACCGATCGCTTCAAACAGCAGGGCGTTATGTATTGGGCAACTAAGTCACGATACCCACTCCTTGTGCGATGGGTATAGAATGGTTTTGTTGATGTCATAGCTTGTACTTCTCTGTTGTTGACTGGATCGAATACTTAGGCTTCTGTAACTATATGTTGAGTAACTAATATATGTACACCTGACATCCATTAGTTTCAAAGATTAGTTTTGGAGTTGTCGTAAACCTAAACCCTGAACAGCATGTATACATATTTATAAGATGACGCTAAAATTCTCAAAGTTTATAAGTGAATACGCTAGTGAAACTCAACTTCAATGCATCCCTGAAGGTTAGCAGAAATAGTAAGGAACAGAAACCACAGAAATTTTAATTCTAATACTAAACAATATGTTTAGTAAGAAGCTACTTTAGCTGTGTGCTATCCAACTACTCATTTATTTACTAGTATGTTTCCTTACTTCAAACCACTTTTCTGTCATAGATTACATCACAGATGGATGCCAGCTGAAAAAGAAATCATCTGCGAGAAGAATCAAAGCGTTAACACCACAATTTATGAATCATTTTCAAATTGATCAGCCTATTCAAGGCATGCTATACAAGGTATCGTATGCCAAATAATTATTTACTATTATTATTATTTGTCCTTTGGGTTCCTAGTGGAACACACCGCTTCAGTAGTAAGTAACCACTTCAATCTCTTCACTCCAGTCTTTTCAACCTGGCTCCACGACCGACCGCAAGCTTTCATTTCTTCCTCACACCATCTCATCCATATCACACTCGGACGCCCAACTCACCGTTTCCCCTTTGGGTTCCACTCGAGACCCTGACCTGACGCGTGATGTCCACAATCGGTCTTCTTAGTGTATCTCCAGTCTAATCCATATCAATTTCTTCTACATATTTGTCGAGCGATAGCTTATTGGTTGCTTCGTTGCTAGCCAGCCACAGTCCCTTCGAGATTATTCTTTCTGGCTACCTGATCTGATCTTCACTATCGAGTGAGCGTAGACGGTAGCTGTTGATGAATGTCTGTAGTTTGTTGGAAACGCTTTTCGTAACCCGCCAAGCCTCTGAACCACCACATAGAAGCACTGGCTTGATTGGCATTAGTGTTAAAAATCCGGATCTTGTTGTTTATCCTGAATGAAGTGCAGTGCAGTAGATCTCCACACTGATTTCAGGTTAATGCAGGAAGACCTGTTTGTTGTCTTTTCGATCCTGGCTTTGACGTTCTCATCTGTGCCACCGTGTGTGGTTGAAACAACGGTGCCTAGGTAGGTAGATGATAGGTGAAAGAGACAACTTCCTTTAGATTTCTGCCGTTGGTGGTGATTGGTGCTTGCGTTTGTTGTTGTTGTTGTTGTTATTCGTTTGGTATCTTCATCACCTCTGTCTTATCCACGTTCACCTGAAGGAAGCC